AAAAAATAATAATAAATTAAAATATTCAACATGTAATGAATATTTATTAGTAATATTCAAAGAATTGTATAGAGATCTTCATTTTCATTTTTCTCTATTAATGATATATTTATAAAAAATAAAAATTAATATTTATCAACTCTAAATAAAATTAAGTAAAAAATAATTAAAATTATGTTATTTTAATAAAATATTATAAAAAAACTATAATAATTTTTTATTTAATAAAAAATAATTAAAACAATGTATTTTTAAGATTTTTTTACTTTACTTATACACATATAGTTAATACCTATTTTTTAAAAATAATATTTTATTACATAAATTATATAATTTAGACAATTAAATGGACCAATTCTTTAATATTGAGCGTTATTTTTCCTGGAACAGGAACTCACATCTTTATTTCATCTCAATAAAGGATAAATAGTTTCTCCAATAATGACAATAATTTTTGTGGTAATTCGTTAATAGTTCTATGATTCAAAGTTTCAAACCACGCGAAAGATAGGTTAGTGAAACAAGTAAAAGCTACAAAGGAAAATTATCTTTCACTTTAATTACAACATAAAAAATATAGTTTCTTTTCTACAAAAGCACCCATATGATATGAGGCTCTAATGGGAGAAAAAAAATAAGGTTTTTATAATATAAAAATTTTAAAATTATTTGTTATAAATACTAATTGAAAACTATGTTAAAAAAATGCTAATTGAAAATTAAAATTTACAATATAACATGATATAGTTTCAATATCTATTTAGATGAAATGCATGAATTTATATATATTATTTAATTGTTATAAAAATTTATGTTTAATAATTAACAATGTAAAATTTTTATCAAAGATTTTTTATTCATATTTTGAGATGATTAAAAAGAAGTTAAAAAGCACCTGGCGTTTTGGGTTAAGTGGTCTTCATGCCACCTTAAAGGTGTAGTCCCCCTTTCTTTGATGGGTTCAAAATTCGAATCCCACCCTTAACACTTTGTTAAAAAAAAAAGTTAGAAAAAAAAAATATCATCTTTTATTGTTATAATCTATCCTTTGTCACGTACAAAAGAAACAAGATATATAATAACAATTTAATGCTCTAAGGAGGCTTCAACGGTTCAACCCCTGAGACGTTTAATGGTGACAAAAAGCGTCTATTATTGGGAACAAAAACGCAGATGTATTAGCATGTTTCAACATTTTATAATTCAATTTCTTGTACCACATCAAAATCATAATTGTCTAGATGTTTGCCCAATAACACACTTTTCTTCGCTAGAAAAACATTTCATTTCAGTTGAGACATATCACATGTATATTAAATATTTGTGTTCTGAAATCAAATTATTTAAGTTCTAAGTAAAAATTTTTAAACTAACTCAATAATTTCTTAATCAATCTATTTATTTATATAAATTATTAGGTTATGCTCACTCATCGAAATTAGTTTGGCCGGTGGAATCAATATTTCAATGGAAAAAAATGTAAGGGAGAAGAGGGTTTTTTAAAAGACATTAATATTTATTAGTTAAATTTTTTAAAAAAATAAAAAAATATTTTAAAATTATGTTATTTTATTAAATAATTATGTGAAAAAATTAAAATAAATTTATCCATGATTTAAAAATAAATTATTTTAATTTTTAAAATAAAAATTTATTAAAATAATATAATTTAAAATAATTTTTTTAATTTATTATATGTCCGATTAAAAAACATTTTTTTTTAAATGTCTTTTATAACTTTTATGAAATATAAAATTTGCTAGTAATTGCTAGTAGTATTAATGGAGGGCACGTCACGTGTTGGCTTTGGTTGGTGGCTTGAGTGAGCCAGAGCCAGAGCCAGAGCCAGAGCCAGGAGTGGAGTGGTGGATGTATACATACGATTTTTCGTGACTTTGTGAATCGCGATATTTGTGGAGGTTGTTTACAACTACTCCTTTGATACGGCTGGACTGCAATAGATCGAGGCCGTACAAATGTTCGGTCAGGCTTCAGTTTCGTTGAATTGATCGACGCCGTACAATTTATGAGGTTGTGAGTAAGTCGTAGTACCACGAGTATTACGGTGGTTTCATTTTTAACACGTGTGCCTTTTATTTATTTATTTTTTTATATATAATAATTATTTACATATTATTTTAAAGAATGGAAAATCTTTTTTTTTTATAAGATTTAAACACTTTATCCATAAAAAATTTATGATTCTAATCCAAAATTTAACACTACTGAATCGGAGAGACTGATGCTGTACCTTTTCATTTTTAATTTCTAACTTTTCACTTTTAACTAATAAGAAGATCAGAAGAATTTAAGAGGGTAATAAATATGGTGCGGGGCCCACTGACTTCCTTTTGTTTTAAAATCACTCTTCGTCCATCTTTTATTTTTATTTGTTTTTTAACATCTTACATTTCAAAGGACGGGAATTTGAATTTTTTTTTTTACTTTGGTGGTACAATAATAACTAATAATTATTCATCTTTTATATCATCATATTCATATGTCATGTGATTCAAATTTAAAATTTTTTAGTTTCATTAAAAAAAAATGACTATTGAATTATTTAGATAATTGACGATGAGAATTTGAATTTTAATCCTTAAATTAAGAGTCTATTTTATTATGAGATACATAATTATTAGGTTAAGAAACTCAACTGCCTCCATTTATCTTTTATTTGAATTTTAAAAAATGTAAATAAAATAAAATTACTAGTACTACTACTACTAGTATATATACGTAGTTATAAAAACATACTCCTATTATAAAAGTATAAAGCTCCCAACTTACAAGTAGGTTGTTATTGTTTTTTTTTTTATTTGAACTATTACAATTTTACTACGGGGTTGGGATTGCAATTACATGGACTTGAACCCAAGTACAAATTGCCTATCACAAATGCTGATTATCCATCAAGCCTATTAGGGGATTGACCATCTTCAAAATTATCATTTCCTTACCATAATATTATTAATTGAATGTTGTATTTTACAATACAAATTGTATTGAAAAGCAAAAGATGAATTTTACATAGAAGACATTACCTAATATTAAGGTGTCTACTTTTTATTTAATGATTTAAGTTATACAGTTTGATGTGTTTAGTCCAAAATTACACAATGCCTTTATATTTTAAATTTTAGTAATAAGTGTTTATAAGCAACATTTGGTTATAGAACAATGATAATTATAATCAATTTTTATGACTAAATTTGAGAACGAATTTATAATAACTATTTATTATAATGTACATTCTACATGAACTCACATAGTCAACAGTTAAAATAATTTCATGCTAAAATTTAATATTTGATATTAAGAATCATTACTCTTGTTTAATAGTAGTATAAGTTTTACCAAACAGACCAATCAAGGATTGCTATTCTCTTCATCATTCATTCCGAAATAATTGTCTCTTTATATATATATATATATATATATTAAAAATTTAGAGGTATTTTATGCATTTATCTTAAGAAAGAGAAAAAGAGAAATATTTTTATGTTCAATTTTAATAGTCTTGATTTCTAATTTGGATGTTTAAATTAAATTGTCAAAATTTTCTTTTGAAA